GGAAGCCTGGGCCCCGCCAACTCAGCCTTAGGGCGCTGCGGTTGCCTACCAGCTCCCTGGCGGCTCCATCCCAGGCCACCCCAGCTAGAAATCCCCCCTGCTGCTGGAGCTGCGGCTGCGGCGGCAGCTCCTCCGCGAGACCTGCAGGTGGCGTCATCTCCTCCCCTGCGGCCGTGGGGAGGGGCCGCCGCCTGCGGTCAGCGGTCAGGGAAGCTGAGGGCAAGGGATCCGCGCAGGACCCGTTTTGCAGCTGCTGGTCATCCAGGTAATCCAGGTATTTGCCTCGCAGGGCCGGGGGGTGGCGACACTGCACGAAGACAGTGAGGAGCCGGCCCTGCGAGTGCCAGTCGCCCATCCAGCGCTTCAGGCCTCGTAGCCGGCAGTCGCAGGTCCAGCCGTTGCCGTCTAGATCCAGCCGATAAAGAGCTGGGCTGGCTGCGAAGATGTCGCCGGATAGGGCGCTGAGCGCGTTGTTGCGCAGGCTGAGCTCGCGCAGCCGGCCCAGGTGACCGAAGGTGGCCGGGTGCAGGGCGGACAACTCATTGCCGCTCAGGTCCAGCGCCTCCAGGCTGTGCAGAGGCTCCAGCAGCGCGGTTGGCAGCTGGCTCAGCCGATTACCCTCCAGGCGCAGCTCGCGCAGGGCCTCCAAGCCCCAAAAGGCCTCCGGCGCGAGGTGCGTGAGCTGGTTGCCCCTGAGCGAGAGCAGGCCCAGACGTGGCAGGTGCTGGAAGACGCGCGGCCCGAGGTGCTGCAGGCTGTTGGCCGAGAGAATGAGGGTGGAGAGGGAGCGCAGCGGTGCGAAGGTGGCCGCGTGGCGCAGGGAGGGCTGTAGCTCGTTGGCAGAGAGGTTGAGGAAGCGCAGCTTGCCTAACTGGGCAAAGGCGTTCTTGCCCAGAAAGCGGATCCGGTTGGACTCTAGATGTAGGTAGAGCAGGTTGCTCAAGGGGGCGAAGACTGCGTCCGGCAGCGCCCCCAGGGCGTTCCCGTCCAGCCGCAGCTTGACCAGACTCTCCAGGCCCTCGAAGGAGCCGCGGCTTAGGCGGCCGATCTCGTTCCCGTTGGCGTAGAGGATGCGCAGCTTGCGCAGCGGGGCCAGCGTGCCCGGGGCAAGCGCCTGCAAGAGGTTGTTCCCCAGGTACAGCTCTTCCAGCCGCGAGAGCTTCTCGAAGGTCTTGGGGTGCAGAGAGCGGATCTGGTTGTACTGCAGGTCCAGCCGTCTGAGCTGCCCCAGACGGTGGAAGTCGAAGGCCGTGATGTTGGTTATGAAGTTGCCGCCGAGGCTGTAGGTGAGCACGTCGTGGGGACTCGGCAGCGAGCTGGTCTTGGGCACGACGCGGAGCCCCCTGTTGGTGCACAGGAGATGCTGGGGGTGCTGGCAGTCGCAGCGCTCCGGGCACACGGGCTTGGCCCGCGGCGGGAGCGCGAGGCAGCTGCACACCACGAGCAGGAAGCGCACGGCGCGGGCAGCCTCCATCGCCGCCCGCCCTGCGTGCTGCGGCCGGATCGTCCTCTTGGCCCGCCGGCTCTGTGTCTCCTCTGCATTCCCCTTGGCCTGACCAGAGTCGCTAAATGGCCTCTTTCGGACTTCGCAGCGCCGTCCAGCCCCTCCTCCGTCCTTTGTCCGGCGGCCGGCCCGGGTCTCTGCAGGCGGGCTTCGCCCGGCCAAGTCAGGCGGCACGGGGCGCTCTGCAGACCCCGGGTGCTACTTGTTGCATTTCTGTGGAAAACTGTTTCTCCGGGTGCGCGTCGGGGGGCGGGGGGAGGGAGCAAGACCCGGCGCTTTTTGTTTGCAGCTGAGTCCGGAGAGTTGGATTCCCTGGTGCGGATTCTCCTAGCCGAGTGGATTCCCCAGCTGCAGGCGGGAGCCGTTCCAAGAGCTTCTCGGGGCGCGGCTTGGCAGCAGAGCCACGGCGGCTCGGCCCCCGCAGACGGCACCTTCTCGTTCGCGGTCCCGGACGCGGAGCGCGGCCCCGGTGCAACAGCTCGGGGAGCACGCGGGCTGCGTCTGGAAGGGACCCAAGTCGGCGAGCGGAGAGCAAACCGGGCGGAAATTCGTTCTTCCCACACTCTGCCCGCGGGGACGCTGGCGGAGAAAGAGGAGACGGCGGAGGGAGGACAGACCCCGGCAGGGGGAGGAGGAAACGCTAAGTGGCTCCGCGTCTGGTCAGCCCGAGCCCGGGATGCCAAGTGAGAAAAGTAGGGATTAAAAACAGCTGTACCGGTCGGACATGCTAGGCCGGGGGCGGGGGAGGATTACCGGGCTAGCAAACGGGATTTGCACACAGCCCTTTTTATTTTAGACGAGTAGACCAGCCGCTTCTGAGCAGTGGGAGTGCGGCTGGCCTTCCTCGTTTTTGTCACTTGCTCTTCCAGGTGCCACCCTGCGGGAAGTTTGAGCAGCACGGAGTCCGCCAGCATTCTACAGGAAGTTTGGGGGAGCGCAAGGTTGCCTGCAAAAGGCCATCAGAAGAGGGTAGGTGAACCCAGTCTGACGGTTGCTGCTTGGGTTTTGACGTGGACTAGTAGCTGAGGAGAGGCACCACCCCTTTTTAGGTGTCTGAAGGGAGCGTTTACTCCATCCTGCTGTGGGCTAGAACATGAAGAAATCACAGAACTGGTTCTGCCAAAATGAAAGTGGCAGCCACATTTTGGTGATTCAGTCCCATTAACTCTTCTACAGTAATAGAGCCCCTGGAGTAGGCTCTGCTCATGTGCACACACTTAATAACCTTCACAGATCCTAAGGTAAACACTCCTTGCAGGGCCCTCCTGCTTTATGCCTGGACTTGCAGTGATCTTCAAAGTCTTTAGGCCCAAAAATGTTTAGGCCTGGCTCAGTTGGGGAAGCATTATTATTTATTATCTATAGGGAATGGAGCATTTAATCAATGGCTCCTTTGGGGTCAGCCCCTGCTGAGAATGAGAATACACAAGGAGGAGTTGTTAATTATTGATTATTGTTTGTTTATGTAAACCATCTTGCTAAAAAATAAGGGCCCTGCCCCCATCCAAGGTGTTGAGAAAACGTAAGTTTTGAGAACATACTTTGCAACAATGTGGAAAATTAAAGGAAAGATACAGATCCTCACCTCAAGAGAAAGACAATCTAGTCGGAAGGGCAATGCATTGAAAGGTTAGATAATGATGTAAGGCAGTAATACAGAACACTGCAAAAATGAAAATAATTTTTTTTTTGAGAAGGGATCTCACTCTGTTGCCCAGGCTGGAGTGCAGTGGCATAATCTCCGTTCAATGCAGCCTTGACCTCCAGAGCTCAAGTGATCTGCCCATCTTGGCTTCCCAAGAAGCTGGCACTAACAGGCCCTTGTCACAATGTCCAGCTAATTTTTGTATTTTTTATAGAGGGAGTTTTGCCATGTTGCCAGGCTGGTATCGAACTCCTCCTGGTCTCAAGCGATCCTCCCACCTTGGCCTCCCAAAGTGCTAGGATTACAGGTATGAGCAACCGCACAGGGTGACAAATGATTTTTAATAATTCCATGTTTCACAGTAATTGCCTCATTTAGCAATTAATATAGGCAAGTGATAGAGGCAAGTTCTGAATTTAGAGAAAGATGAGATCGTTCATGGGTGAACAGGGACCTTGGCTTTGCAGGGAGGTGAGTCAATGATAATTCCAGGAGATGAGCACTGAGGGGTAGAACTGTGATAGTCCTGAGGAGCAGCGCCTGGCCTGAGAGTATGAGGAAGGCGCCTAGAAGAGGGGAAACCTGTGCTGAGTTTGAGGGGTGAGTGATGTTACCTAGAGGAGGGTGAACAGGCACTCAAGGAGGAGAAGCCTGGGGACACATGCAAGGAGGGATTTAGAAACCTCCACATCTTCTGTCTACATATTTAGAGTGAGCTTTATTATTCTTTATCATACACCCTAGCTTATACAGTGACTTGAAATAAATATTCCTTTATTCCCCTTTAAGGATTTCAGCAGGTAGCTGATGTAATCATATTTGCACTACAACCTCAAGAGGAATCTCTGCCTAAATAAACAAAGTAGGTGCTATACAAAGAAAATGTCTTCCTAGTTCTTGCCTTCTAGGTCCTTGAAATCTGTGACAGCAGTAGGTGTGAGATGTGTGGATAGAGCATCCAGACTGAGGTATTCAGCTATACCACATACATAGGCATCCTGTAGATACCATGAATGCACCTCCCTTGACCAGGCGCATGTGGGCCCTGTCTGTGGACCTTGTGCTTTAGAGGGCTGTGTTCCAGTACTGCTCTGGCTGTGTCCCTTCAATAAGATTGGGATTTCAGGCCTCGAAGGAGATGTGCACACCTATATCCCACCTCCTACTCAGAGTTCTCTAGACCCTGGAATTCCCCGTGTAACTGCCTAAGTATATGTAGGCTGTCTTCACATCTGTTTTCCCGGTGGCCAATCATGCCACAAGTGTGTATACTCATAGGGCCAAGGGAAGACCAAGGAGTCAGCTATGCAAAAAAGAATCTGGAGATGTAGGGTAGAGTTTCCACTGGGAGGCCCCCAGAAGACCCCTCATAATGCAGGAGCCCGAGCTGGGAAGGACAGCCGTGGGCCAGTGAGTGACCTTTCACACTCTAACCCAGGGCTTCTCAAATTTTAAAGACAGGCCTGTCTATATGTAGTTATTTTTGGAGAGAAGAAAGTAAATGTACTTTGATTTCAGAGAGTTCAAGAAGAAAAAAATCAGGAGTTTGAAGGAAAGCAGGTTTTGTTGTTTTTCTTTTTTTCCTCACTGCAATCTTTGCCTCCCAGGTTCAAGCAATTCTCCTGCCTCAAGCCTCCTGAGTAGCTGGGATTACAGGCGCGCACCGCCACACCTAGCTAATTTTTGTATTTCTAGTAGAGACAGGGTTTCACCATGTTAGTCAGACTGGTCTCAAACTCCTGACCTCAGGTGATCCACCCCCTTTGGCCTCCCAAAGTGCTGGGATTATAGGCGTGAGCTACCGCACCTGGCCGGAAAGTGGTTTTTAGAAGTGTTAAGTTTTACTTTATTGTAACATAGGCTATGCTTAATTTTCTATAAAAAGCAGTGCTTTTTAGTAAAAGCAAGGACACAATTGTCTCTAGGTAAATGAATGTCTCTTAACTATGTAAAGTCTTTGTTAATGGATGGATCCAGGCTTGATCAGGTTCCAGGAGATTCAAGTATTGGTTATACTTAAGTGTATAATTGGCATAATCACAACTGGAAATCCAGGAAGGAATGCCATTCATGAGAAAATACAAGAACTTTGTCATTTCACTTTTGGAAAGCTTGCACTTTAAATCTCAAGTGCACTGCGGGGTAGTTTCAGAGGTCAGAAGCACAAATGCGTTTGGGCTGGGTCCATGACACATACATATGCTGTAAGGACTCTCAGGGGTCTTGCCCAGGCATGAAATCTTCGCGAGCTTGCCACGGTTGTACACCTGTTTCTTCCCAAACAACCTGTGGTTCCCTTGAACTTCAGCTACAGAGGCATGAAGGATTCCAGGCCATGTCTTCAGCAGCCCCTGGATCTGACAGCAGTTGGTCAGGCAGTGCCCTGGTGTGGGATGGGTGAGGGGGAGGAGAGGTCTGGCTGCAGGGGATGCGAGGAGGTGGAGCTAGCCCAGTTCTTCTGGAGCAGCATCCTGGAGCTTACTCAGGCAGCCTGCAGGAATGGTAGCAGTTTCCTCCCGTCGTGGGAGCCAACCCCAGGCAGGTAGTATGGTCCTTGACACAGACGACGTAGGAAACAGGAGACTCCTCAGTGATTAGTTTGCTTATTATCAAATGCCCCCCAAAGTTGTCTTTCTGTGAGCTGCATCTTAGCCTGAGAGACAAGTTTCTTTTCTTTGGGATCAGAGATATGAATGAGATACCCACTGGTTTACAGAATATCCACCAATTCTCCATTTCCTGGGTAATACAGGAATGCAGGTCCCTGGCTAGGTACCAGCCTTATTCAATCAGAATCTCTGGGCAGCAAAGCTGTAGCAGCTGCATTTGTAAGCTTACCAGATGATTTTTATGTGCACTCAAGTTTGAGAAAACCAATAGACAATACTTCAAAACACCTATTTATGATTGGCTGATCATGTAACAATAATAATAATGTAATAGTAACTGGTGCTTATGTAGTGCTTAGTGAGGGCCAGGCAGTGATCTAAGCACTCTACATAAAATAGCTCATTTACTTCCATAACTACCTAGTGAGGTAGAAATGGTTATTGTCTTCATTTTACAGAGGAGCTCTTTAAAAATACAGGATCCTAGCCCCAACCCCAGAAAATCAGATTTGGAACCTTCATAATAGGGCCTAGAGATTTTATTTAGCACATTACCAGATATTGCGTGGTGAAGACTCAAGCTTAGGAACTGCAAAACTAGAATTTGTAAGGGCTTATTGAGACATTGAAGTATCTCCTTTGCTGGGAGGCTGAGGATAGAAAGAGGAATAAGACAAAGCCGGTACCTTCAGCAAGCTCAGCATGGCTGGGAAGATGAATGTACAAAAGACAATAATCCAGAAGGATAGTACGATCCTAGGGTAATACAGTGAGAATAATATGCTGTAATAGCAATTATTTTTTGAGAGGAAAATAAGGAAGAACGAAAACCTCTGTGGAAAGCGAACACTGTATGTATCTCAGGCCATTTACAAAGTGACTGTTCCAACACTCTGGATTTTTATGTCCAAGGAAAATCCTTATCCATTAGTTCAAAGAGACCTGATTGTTTGAAACCAACATGTATAAACAGACTGTGTATCTACAAGAACTGCCGTGAACTGTAGGCATTTCTGTAAGCTAAAAGGGCAAGGCAGATGTGGACTGAGTGTAATGAGTTAGGGAGTAAGACAGATCCAAATGTTGTTTATGGTTACAGTATGGAGTTTGTTTACATGTAACTGAAATTTTATAGCAGTAATATAATGCTGTCTTCCCTTAGAATGAAATTGAGTGAGTAGCCTTAGGAGATGCTCTAGGTACAAATGTAT